GGGGGGGGGCCCGCCGGGCCGGTGGGCCGCGTGCGAGGGGGCGGGGCGGGCGAACAGCGGGGGTCTGTTCCAGAGGACTGCTCCCCAGGGCCCGCTGATCCCCTACTCGCCCTGCACAGGAGCTTGTGCGTGCCCGTGTGTGTGTGTGTGTGTGTGTGTGTGTGTGTGTGTGGTGGGGTAGCCAGTTGTGGGGTGGTTAGGTTTAGGGAGGTCTCCTAGAGGAGATGAACCCCGCAGTCAATCTCTCTGACATCTGGGTCATCTCTCCCAGCTGGCCCTCCCCATCCGCCTGCTCCTGGAATACACAGACACAAGCTATGAGGAAAAGCAGTACTCCATGGGAGATGGTAACGTGGGGACCTCCGTGGCGGTGGCCGTACCTTGCCCAACTCATGCTGATTGGGTACTCAGCACCCCTGCCTGGCCACCTGCTGCTACCTCTGCAGGCCTCTGGCAGCTGGAGCTGCAGCCAGCTGGTCTCTGAGCCCTGTGGGCCTATAGGGTTGGGCCTCCCTTAGGGTGCTAGTATCTTTTGTAAACCGCAGTTATGGAGGTATTAGAGATCTTCCAAGTATATTTCGTTTTTTTCCAGCCCCAATCCCCAACATACCTTGGAATGTGAGACTGAATGGTCCAGATTCCAGATCCACCGTCCCTGGGTGCCTGGCCTCTGACTTCTGAGGGTCCCCGGGACAGGGATTGGGTCGGGAGGTTTGTTTTCACTTGGTCTTCCCCACCGCAGCGCCTGACTATGACAGAAGCCAGTGGCTGAAGGAGAAATTCAAGCTGGGGCTGGACTTTCCCAATGTAGGTGCAGGGGAGGGGGCGATGGGGGAGGGTGAAAGGGGTCCCCACCTGCACCTCCTTTCCCAGCTTAGAGGTTTTAGGGTCAGGCACCTTCTGCTCAGCTACTCTCTTCCTGGTTCCCTGCGCTGCCTCCCCATGATGCCCTCCGTCCCAGCTCATTCATTCACTGACGTATAAACTCATTTAGGGCCTGTGTGGGCCAGGCACAGTGAGGGCCAGGTCTCCTTCTGCCCTTGCCCAGGGCACGGGGTGCTGGGGAGCCCGGGAGCCCAGCTGACCTGCGTGTTGCCCACGCAGCTGCCCTACCTGATAGATGGGTCTCACAAGATCACCCAGAGCAACGCCATCCTGCGCTACATCGCCCGCAAGCACAACCTGTGTGAGTGGGGCTGCCCGTGGGGGTGGGGCGCGGTGGCCGTCCCGCTGGGCCCGGGTGGGCTGGGCTGCTGAGTGTGCGTCTCTGTTGTGGGCCACAGGTGGGGAGACAGAAGAGGAGAAGATTCGTGTGGACATTTTGGAGAACCAGGCTATGGACACCCGCTTTCAGATGATCAGATGTTGCTACAGTCCTGACTTTGTGAGTCCTGTCACCTGGCTGGGCTGTGCATGTTCCGAATCAGGAGCCAGAGCTCACGCATTCCTAAATGCACTGCTCTATTTCCTGTTCAAAGCTCTTAGTTTGGCCAACCCTCCAAGCTGTTTCCTACACTGCAACCAGAGCGACCCTCAATCCCCAACTCCTGTCGTATGGAACTTTTAATCAGTTCCCACCTTCTCAGGATAGAGTCCAGACTCTCCAGGACGGAACATCAGTTTCCAGACAGTGATGGAGTTTCAAATCCCTTTGCTTCTGACCTCTGCCGTCTGCCATGGGCTGTGTTTCCCAGCCGGCTCCCCCCACCTGCCTGTTCCAGGAGCACAAAGACTCAGATCAGGAGGAAAAGATGTACATGACGGGGCGGAAATTGTACCCGTGTGTACAGACTTCGACGCATGATTTTCCCATTGTCCTATCCTTGACACCGTCAGGGATCCAGACATTTTCCTAAGAGTAGCTCTAGATTAACCAAAAGGTTTTGTTGCATTTTTGCATTACTTTCCACCTCTCAAATTCTCTTCAGCTTTCTGGAACCTTCTCCATGTCCATTTCTTTCTTTCTTTCTTTCTTTTTTTTTTTTTGTCACTTTACTGCATAAAATTCGAACTTCAATCTCTAAGCTCTTCAGGTTTTTTTTTTTTAATTTATTTTCCTTCTTCGTGATATAGCATTTTTAAGCCCACAAGAAAGGGCTTGAGACAGAGAGGAAGAGAGACAGGGAGAGAGAAAGAGATGAGCACCCTCCACAGGGTCTGGTCGTGCACCACGCCCGTCTTCCAGTCCTCTGGTCCATTGCATCCTGGCCACATGCACGCATGCTCATGAGATTCAAAGTCACTGGGCCAGGGATGTGAACCACTTTACTATGTGGGACCCGGCCTCTTTGAGGGATGCTTCAGTGCTGCATAAAAGCTGGCGTTTTTTTAGTTCTTTACTTGTTTCATTCTGCCCAAGGTCTGAGTCTGGACTCTATCTGGTACTCTGGGCACCCCCGGATCATTTTCACAGGAGGGTGTTTGCAGGCCAGTGGTGATAGAGTCAGGGAGAGTGTCATGTCCTTTCTGACTTCCCCTGTCTCTGACAGATGGTTCTGGTACTGAGTAGGAGTGAAATAAATGTGGATGTACTAAATTGTCCCTGTCCCCATTTCAGGGAAGATGGCGGCTCACCCGACTAGTGGGGCCATGCACAGCATGGGAAACCCTCCTCTTGGCCTTGGGACTTTGTGACTTAGGGTGGTGACAGTGGTTTCTTCTTCAGGAGAAACTGAAGCCAGAGTTCCTGGCGGGGATCCCTGACAAGATGAAGCTGTACTCACAGTTCCTGGGGAAGAGGCCTTGGTTTGCAGGGGACAAGGTAACAGGAGGGAGATGGGGGTGGCAGGCTGCCCTTCCTCCTCGGTGATGGACGGAGTTCCTGCCCACTCACCCCTGGCCTTCTGCAGATCACCTTTGTGGATTTCATCGTCTATGACGTCCTTGACCAGCACCACATGTTTGAGCCCAAGTGCCTGGACGCGTTCCCAAACCTGAAGGAGTTCATGTCCCGCGTTGAGGTGATGCCCTGGGCCTCTTCCTCTTGGGTGTCCCGTTCTGCTTCCCCCTCTGTGGTGATGCTTTTGAACTCTGGAGCTCACAGGCAGAAAAGCTGGCATGGATTGAGCACTGGCTTCCTGCCAGGACCTGTGCCCCGCTCTTATGTGTCCTGTGTCATATGTAGTCTTTCAGGATGTCTCCAGGGCCGCTAAAATCATCTCTCTCATTTTAGAGGGGAGGAGACTGAGATGACAGCGGGCGAGTCCTTTGCTGAAGGTCTCAGAGCCAGCTGAGGGCGTGCTGATGCCCCCTCAGCCTCTGGCTCTCAGGAGCAGCACTCAGAGGCTCTCCCTTGTTTGTGCTAAATGACAAGCCTCAGGCCATTGTCCGGCCTGGGTTTCTTTGCCCAGGACACTATGGAGAGGCAGAAGATTTCAGGGCTGCTGGCTCAGGTGCACTGGTAGGACTGACACTCGTTAGGGCTGATGCTAAGAACCAGAGACTGAGAGTATTCCCACGTGATCTTTGGGAAACACTGGAACAACGTCCATCGCGGTGCTGAGAGCCAGGGCTGTTTGTTCTGGATATACCTACAGAAGAGGGGACTTCAAAAGTCCATTTAAAAATGGAATTAACGTAGGACTTAATTTTTTAATTAAAAAAGTTATTTTTCTTTTACTTATTCATTTATTTATTTTAATTTGACCAGAGAGAGAGAAAAAAAGGGAAACAGCAAGGCACCAGGTTCAGGACTTGATTCATGGTTAGCCATGGGGGAGTATCCTGCTGCCCAACCAGCCCGCCACCTGCTGGCCACAGTACAACCTTATTTTAGCGCAAAAGCATTTTGATTTCAATTTATAGTTTTTATTCAATATGTTCTTTGCCATGAACTTTGTGAAGACCACTCATACGTAGGTGCCTCCCTGAAGCAGTTTTATAAAATGTTCCATGGCGGGGTACTTCCATTTTCTACCTTTCTTTCTTCCAATGTCCAAGAGTCTGAGGACAGCTCGCTGACGTTCACTCATGGTGTTTCCTGTTCTTCTCTGTATGAGGCCAGTGGTCAATATAAATGTGACCCCCTTCCTGGGCTTGAGAGTGGAGACATGTGGGCACACCAGGCTGAGAGCAGCATGTCGTAGTATCTGGGTCCTGGGAACCACAATCTGGACCTGCCACCTATTGTCAATGTATTCAAGAGCAACAGAACCTACCTCACTATAACTTTGGGGATTTTAGACATTTGTCTAGCAGATTTTGAGCCTAGATTCTGTTTTCTTGTCTGACTCTGCATCTTGAGATCTTTCTGAGCTGATTCTCAGCTCTAGTTCAGGTTGAGGCCTGGTGGCATGACTGTGGGAGGGTGCTGGGGAGCTGAGGGCTGCAGCCTGTGGCCTGCCTGGCCTGGCCTGTCGGTTCCAGGCACCCCAGATCTCTTTGAGCCCTTTAGCAATGGCCTGGGCACTGTCTCCAGGTACGATGGCACAGAACACAGCTAAGTGTCCCAGAGCCTGGTCCCCTGTGACAGATGCGGGAGGAGATGGGGTGGGCTGGCTCACTGAGACTGGGCTGAGGCAGCAGGCAGAGGAGCTGGCCCTGCTGCTTGGAGGGAAATGCAGAGCCTGGCCTGGCCTTGCTGTGCTGGTCCCCTCCCCCTCCCTTTCATCTGAGTTTTGCTGAGTCACTGGGTGACATGTGGGCTCCTCCAAGCTGCACTGGCAGGTTCTGAGCCCCTTTTCCTGCTAGAGGTCCCTCCCCTGTGTGCAAAGCCAGGTCAGCCAGGGGCCTCCCTGTGATAAGGAAAGTCCTTGTGCAGATGGAGGAGTGCCAGGGCCTGCTGTGGGGGAGCGGGGTGCCCTGGGGTAGAGAGAGCACAGAATGGAGAGAGCGAGCGCGAGCGGCCTTCCAGCCCTGCCCCGCCTGCCAGCTGTGGGAGCAGGGGCAGTGGCTCCACCTCTGTGTACTCGGTTTCCCTTTGGATGAATGGTGGCCGCAGGACAGCTGAGAGGACTTTCTAACCCTTCGTTGTCACCTCTCCTGGCTGAAACTCTAGCACAGTGTCGAGTCTCCATAGTGGCAGCTCTTCTTAATGCTCCACATCAGCTGAAGGAAACTCCACAGAGCTGGCCCTGAGCAGGCTGTGAAGACCCAACCCTTGACCCCCATGGACAGGCTGCAGTCAGGGTCTTGGACTGCTGTGCTCAGATGCGGTGCCCCCAGTCAGTTGTGAACCTTGAGCGCTTAATTGATTGATTGATCGATTGATTGATTGATTTTCAGGGCTTGAAGAAGATCTCTGCCTACATGAAGTCCAGCCGCTTCATCAAAAGCCCTCTGTTTTTAAAGATAGCCAAGTGGGGGAACAAATAGAGCCCTGCAGTGCCAGGTATGGGGTGAGGAGCCAGGGCTGGCCTGCTGACCTGGGCCTGGGGGTCCCAAGCCCTGACCCCCACATCAGCACGCCCAACCCGTCCTCTTTCTGCTGCCTCTCCCCAGGCCGTGTTGGGTCACTTTGTGTTTTCATATCCCTTTTCCCTGCGCGGCTCTTTTAAGCCAGCTGTCCACATCTGTGCAGCGTTCCCTTCCTGCTGCCCTGCACTGGAGCCCACCTGCCGTCCTTCCAGGTCGAGGCTGTCTTGCTTTAAGGAGCCAGAGTGGACCCTGATATCCCCAGCACAGCCTTGAAAACTGGCTTACCCGGGTACACCTACTCCCCCATTGTGGCCCTGCCCCAGCCCTGTCTGATCCACAGTAAAGCCTGTACCACCCCTGCTGTGTTTCGTCTTGTTCCCTGGGGCTCCCTGGACTCAGGACTTACCGTGTAGGAGGCGTGTGCATGTGTGTGTGTGTGTTTGTGTGTGTGTGTGTGTGTGCATGGGGTGATGGGTGTGTGTGGGGGGGTGATCTTTCTCTTCTGTTGTATGTGGAAGTGTCACTGTGGACGGTCATGTGCGTGGAGTGGTTGGTGGCTGTCAGGCAGGGTCACGTTTCTTGGTCTCTTCTGTCCCCTGGCCATGTCCCTCTGTTTCTAACCTCGGGCATATCTACAGAAAGCTCTTTCTGTGCCCGGGGTTCTCATCCATAACTCCCCCTGGAATGCCACCGATAGGCCACGTGGAATTCTGTGCCATGGCTCCTAGAGGGGCTAGGCTGATGGAGAAGCTGTCAGTCAGCTGTCTGCAGCTGACTCCCTCTGTCACCTCTCTGTCCCTGATGTCCCTGAGCTGGCCATCCCCCCTGTGCATTCTCGGGACATTTCTTAATGCCTTATCTCCTACCATATTGCAGTGGTCCTTGTACTTGTTTTTCACCCCCAACTCAATCATAAATTTGATTCAGAGGAAAGAAAATATGTCTTACCTGCTTTGAAAGAATAGATTTAATTTTTTAAAATGCCAGATGGTCCATGTGCTCACCAACGAGGAAAAAAAAAAAAGAGTGAGGGCACCCCGCTCATGGGGTTGGTCACACCAAAGTCCTTTTCTGTTTATCCTGTCAGGTTCATAACGTTCGTCAACTTTTACCTTGCTGAGCTCTTATCTTACCAGCTTATCCTGTGTGATTTTTGATTTCAGAAGTTCTGAGTCACCTTTACTATTGATCCTATCGCTCCCTTTGTACTGAACTACCCAGCATGGTTTTTAAGCTGCCTAGACTGGGATTTGAACTCTGGTGGGTCATGTGGCATTTGGCTTTTTGAGTATAATACTTAACCACTGCTCCGAGGGGTCGGCCCTTGTCTTTAATATCTGTCACAGTGCCTCATGTACCATCAATATTCAATAAATTCGGAAATTTGAAAGTCTCATCTCTAGGGAAGACTGCCACCGTAGATAGCAATTTGTGGGATTTAGAGCTCTGGGGACTCTCAGCAAGAGGAGACAGAACATTGCTCAGAATATGTTGATATATAGGTCTTAGAGAATGAGCCAGTAGGTCTCTACCTTAAGCATTTAATAGGTTCTAGCTGCCCTTCGAATAACTCTCCCTGAGATGGGCAGGCCCAGTTTGCTGGGTGGTAGCGTAGCCATGAGAGAGGTCAGGAGGTGTCATGGGCGTTTCGTAGCCCCGAGTGTTCCTCAGTCGGTAGCTGGACTGTGGAGTTGGGCCTTGGGAAGGCACAGCTTTGAACTCAGCCTATAAGAACGAGCAGATTGGAGGGGAGTGCTGAAAAAAAGACGTTCATTGCCTGTGACTGCATGGCCAGTGGTAAATGTTATTCAGAAATAAATGATTAATTAAAAAGGGTAAACTGGTAAGATAAAAGCTTAGGAGGGAAGGTAATGGTTTATGAAACTGGTAAGATAAAACTTGGTGAAGCCAAAAGTTTGTTAAACTATAACTTAAAGCAGAGGAGGCAGGGTCAGCCTGTGGCCTGGTGGTTGAGGGAGCTGAATCCTACATGGCTGACCTCAGGGTTCAAGTCCTGGACCAATAGGCTTGGGGAACACACTGGGTGTGAGTGTGGCCAAAATCCCAATGGGAGGGAGAGAAGGAAGAGTCGGGGGATGTGGTGTGACCATTCTCCACATCTCCCTTCCTCCCTCTTTGTGCTTACATGAGCCCTTTGCCAAAAACAAAAACAAAATGGGACTGGCAGATGATGTAATGGTTACATTGTTGAACTCCCACATAGGTGACTATGGTTCAAGTCCTGGACTCAGCAGCTTAAAACTCACACTGGGTGTGTGTGCATGCATGCCCCAAATTTTGAGAGAATAGAGGAGAAGGGATTGTGGCGAGGCCATTCCCCCTGGGGGATAATTTTTTTGCTTTCTGTCTCTGGTGAGGGTACATACCCTGTGGGAAAAATCTTTCTAAAATAAATAAATAAAAACAAAACCAAAAGACAGAGAAGATGAGAAGTAAAAAAGCAGACAGCAATAGAAGTTAGGAGTGACACTATAATAAAAGATAAGTACAATAGAGCAAATAAAAATATTAAGCCAAAGTAAAATATATGTAGATGTTGAATAAGGATCAGCAAACTTTTAAAAAGGATTATTTAATTTTATTTATTATTATTGTTATTATTTTAATTCACCAGAGAGAGACACAGAGAGAGAAACAGAAAGAGCAAGCCTCCAGGTCCGAGACGCAAGCTGTAATTGGTCATATGGGAGTTTGCTGCCTCAACCACCACCCCACCCTCTGGCCCCAGCAAATGTTTTTGTAATGGGCCCTATAGTATTTTAGCTTTGCAGGCCATATGATCTCTGTCAGAATTGCTCAGATCTGTGGTTGTAGAGTGAAACCACCCATAAACAATGAATAAATGAATGGGTGGGGCTTTAGTGCAATACAGTTTTATCTGTAAAAACAGGTAACCACAGCAACAATAAAAACAAACTACCAAATTAAAAAAATGGGCCAAGGCCTTGAATAGACATTTTTCCAGAGAAGATATACAAATAGCTAACGAGCACATGAAAAAATGCTGAACCTCACTATCATTAGAGAAATGCATCCATTCTACAATGAAAGAGTATCTTACACCCACTAAGATGTCTGCTATACAAAGTAAGTGGTGGGGTCGGCTCTATGATGTGGTGGTTAAGGCAGCTGGATCCCACATGGCCCACCACACAGTTCAAGTCCTGGACCCAACTGCTTGTGAAACGCACTGGGCGTCTATGTGTGTGTGCCCAAAATCCCGGAGAAAGGATTGCAGTGTGACCATTCCCTGTGGTGCTTTCTTTTCTCCCTCTCTGCCTCTCTCTCATGAGCACAAGTGCTTTCACCACACACACACACAAGTTGGAAGATACAAAGTTTATCCAGAAAAGAGATTGCCGCTCTAAACTTTTAAAAAAGCTTTTGATATAATGTACTTATGCTCACCAGGGAGAGACTGAGAATAAGGAAGAGAAAGTGAGAAATCACTCCTCAGGGGGATGGCCATGCTGCAATCCCTTTTCCATATTCCTCTCAGGATTTCGGGCATGCTTCGTGTGTTTTTCAACTTGCTGGGTCCAGGACTTGTACTGTTCAATCAGCCATGCGGGAGTTCTGCTGCCTAATCTCAGTTCCACCTACTGGGCCTCTACAATACATTTAAAAAAAAATGATTTATTTATTCATTTATTTATTTCTTAATTTGACCAGAGAGAAACAGAGAGTAAGAGTAAGAAAGAGAGGAAGTAAGAAAGCAAACCACCAGATTCAGGACTTGAACCCTGGTCAGCCATGTGGGAGTGTCCAGCGCCTTAACCACCATGCCACCTGCTGGTCCTACAATACATTTTTAAAAAGTGTGGTTGGAGAACATAGAAGAGGGACCTGCTGACCAGCCTACTTGCTATTTCCTTTTTTCTGACTGTGTGACTTCCGTAGATTAAAAAAAAAAGCTAATTTATTATTATTTCTTCTTCTTTTTCTAAAGTTTGCTATCGGGCATGTGTGCTCACTAGAAAAAGAAGAGGGGAAAGTGAGAAAGCAAGCCACCAGGTCTGAGACTCAAACAGTAGCCGGCCATGGGGGAGTCCAACACCTTAACTGCCATTTCACCTGCTGGCCCCTTACAGACATTTTGTCCCTCAGATAATTGTAACTGGCCCAGCCTCACAGCCTCTCTCTGGCAGACCACACATCCGCGGACTCAAGGGAGAAAGGATGACAGGTTCTCCTCACTTAATGACCTCTGTCGACTCACTTCATGACCTCTGTGGATAAGCAGGAGCTTAAAGGTGGATGTATTGTGGTGTGTCGTGGCACCACAGGGCACGTATTTTCAACAGATGTCACATGACGCCACGCTAGAATAATGTAATTCTTATCTATACAAAGAGCATACATTAGATAAGCGCCAGAATGTGACAAGATGCGGGACAATATAATATAAACCTGGCTTAATTGTTTCTATTCATTCAGAATACCACAATGGGCGCACAATAAAGCACAAATTTATAAAAAAAAGAGGTAGTGTTGTGTGATGGTGAATGCTTTGTGTAATGAATATATTTTTAAATTATTTATTTATTTATTTATTTACTATTATTATTAGCAGTAGTAGTATTCGGTTTTACCAGAAAGAGAGGGAGAGTGATAGTGAGAAAGCAAGCTGCCAGGTTTGGGACTTGAACCATGGTCGGCCGTGTGGCATCCAGCGCCTTTAACACCACGCCACCTACCAGCCGGTGTAGTGAATATTAACCGCCTGCAGGGATGAGACAAGGACTGAGAAAGGGGCTCCCCCAGACTCACACAGGTTGAGCTGGGACTCCCCCTGGTGGAGAAACCCTAAGTCTGAACAGTCACCAAACAGGCCAGTCGATAAATGAGGGGGGCGGTACTAGCACCACGCCACCGCCAATAAACTGCTTCAGGCAGCTTCTGCAAAAGGACTTACCCAGTCCTATCTTTCCCCCTTCTTGAAACCCTACCCTGTTTTCTTGCCCAATGCGAACTTCTTCAACCCAACTTACTAGAAATAAAGACTTGCTTTCTCGGAGTTAGGTCCTACCTGATAGCCAGTTTCAATCACCTCCCACAAATTTCACCTTTCAGCACCATAACTGTATTGCATTTCTACCCTTACAGTGCTATTACAATGGCTCACCAGATTTTAACACATGAATTTTGGGAAGGACACATTCAAACCAAAGCAGATGGTAAATTTTATGTTATTTGTATTTTTACCTCCCCCCACATATACACACCAACCAGTAAATTTAAAGCAAAATAAAAAACAAAAAAAAAGGTGGCTGTAGTTTCTTGATTCTTGATGTATAGACTCAAATTAAAAGGGAACAGTTCTAAAAGCTAAAATGTTGG